AGAAAAATCGAGTATTATATTTAAATTATTCGATCGATAACAAATGCTTGTTACTTGTTAAATGATAACGAAATTTTCATTACTTTGAATATCTAATTTGCTAAAGTTAAAAGTACAAATACATATACATATATATATATATATTTTTTTTTTTATTTTTTTATTTTTATTATATTTCTCTCGATATTGTTCATTAATCTAAATTTCTTATTAAAAATAAATCATAAGGAACACATTGTTTCCGACGTTAATTATACATCAAACAATGTTGTAATAATGTTTCTATCGAAAGCACAATACTTCTCGTGAAAAATAAAAATACATATAAAACTGCATGCCATAACGTGAAGTTCTAAGGAAACTAACGAAGTCTTAAGGAAGATCGAATTAACACTTGCACGATTCTTCGAGCTCTTACGTCTTCTTTCGTTACGGAAAAACCACGAGACGAGAGCCGGCGCCAAGCAATTGCTATTGCCGATGAATCAGTAACGTTTATCTCGGCGTAACGACAAAAACGTAACAAAGACATAAAAAAAGAGGAAAAAAAAGGAAAAAAAAGGGGAGAAAAAAAAGGAAAAAGAGGGAGGTAAAAAAATAAACAGAGAGATACAGTTGCACTTTGTTTCACCCCCCACGCAAATTTTTTCCCGAGAAATCAAAAGCGTTGCTGTGATTACACGTGTTATTACGTTGTTATCACGTAACGTTGAGATTTGCGGACTTATATAAGTCGCCATTCTAATCGCGAGACGCGATAAAAAAAAAGAAAAAAAAAAAAAAAAAAAAAAAAAAAAATACCTTCGACCATGTACAAAGTAGCAATGAATTCTAACTCGTTATGCCGTTAATCATAAGCGTACAATAAGCTCTTCTTGGAACGCAATGTGATTTCAAGCTGATGACGCGTTCTTCTCGTTTCCTTTCAAATCAATGCAATTGATGTCGAGACTCTTCTGAAATTGCATATCTTAGAAAATTATTATGAATCGGCTCACGCGTCGTCTTACTAACTATTATACATTCATGCAGATTAGCGCAAAAAAGAATCGATCTAATCGTAAATTGTACGTAAATCGAACGAATTTCTGATTTCTTTTCTTTTTTATTTATTTTTTTTTTGCTTTTTATTATTATTATTATTTTTTTTTTTTTTTTTCTTAATAAACGTATTCAAATTTCTATAATTAAGAAGAAAACAATAGCGTATAGTGTTGATAATAATTAAAAAAAAAGAAAAAGAAAAGAACAAATTAAGACGCGAGTCTCTTACTTCAATTACGTAACAAAGATATTATAAAAAAAAAAAAAAAAAAAAAAAAAAAAAAAAAATAAAAAAAAAAAAAAAAAAAACAAGTAGAGAATCGTGAATGTAGTAATATTCGCAACGACCACAATAATACCACTGAAACAAGATTAGAAACTTCAGAGTCAAGGATAGTCGCCTTCTTTTAGCGGCAACGATATATGCGCTCAATGAATGTATAAATTCATGCATGAATGAAGGTTAAAGTCGACAATTTCTTACGTTAGACTAATACATACATCATCAAAATCACAGTAATAATGTTTATCTGATGAGTTAACCTGTTTAAACTTAACAAGCTTGGCACGAAACTGATACCAAGAAGAGGAACATTAGAATACGAAGTTTCCACTAACGTAATTACATGTCATACCTGATAAAATATGAATATATTTATTCTGAATGCGATCGAATGAATACATTATGTATTCTTTTATCGAAAATCTTAAGAAACGTATTTTCCATTTACATCGTTCTTGTAATTTCCTTGTTTATCATGTACACATCCTAAGAAACATTTATATGCATATTTCTATGGATTTCCTCGTGTAAAATGCAGAACGAATAAACCGAGAAATGAGAATTAAATGACTTCTGAATTGAACTTGCAAACGTTTCCCAGAATATTTTCTGCCCTTTGACACTTACGAATTACGTAAGAAGAAAGAACTGTTTACGGAATCGAAGGTTATTCGCAGCGATACCAATAAGTATTTAAAAAAAATATATAATTGATAAATCGAGCAATCGACGTTTCATTAGAAGCCATTATAGAGAAAATATATGTCATGTCCATGAATTTTTATCGTTTGCTTTTCCGATAAACAAAGGTGCATGTAATTTTCTTCGATCTCCTTATTCGATATAATTAGTTATTCTTCGATATAAATAGTTATTCTTGAGGTTGTAAAATACAAGATCGAGATAAGCTTTGTTTTTCTTTCGAATAGAAACGATCAATAAACGTACAGATCGTACAGCTGTTTGATTCTCATTGAAATATAACTTCGAGATAATTTTATTATCGATTGTTGTCAACTTTGAAAATCCATAAGAATCCGTCGTCAGATAACGATCGAATAGTAAGGGAAATGCTAGTTCATAATAGTACGAATGATAAAATATAGCGAACTCTAACTATATATATTTTTAAAAGACGCGATCGAGGCGAGTCAGCGAGTCTGGCGTAGGCATTTGAGGCGAGTCTCTTAAGGACCATGTCGACGAAGAGCATCGTAAATTCGCGTCATCGGAGCGTGGATTTAAAACCGGTTGCCTCCGAGTACCTCTCGTGTGACCAGCTGAGTTCGATTTTTACCGTAATTCGAACGAACGCCGTACAAAAGGCTCGAAACATAATAACGAGAAAGGGCAAGAAAACCTCGACGAAAGATATTAAATTTTCTACGAAAATATTCCGGGAAAATACAAAATAAAAGTTATATAAATAATGATAAGAGTAACAAAGAATAACGTTTGTCTATTTAAAAAAAAAAAGAGAGACATCAAGCAATCGTTATAAATATATTAACAATATATTAACCAGTCAGATAAATCTATAAATCTTATGGTCCACGTCCCTCCGGAATCTCTTAATGATCGACCGATAAAAGTGATCGATCATTTCTGGTCCATTCGAGCTCTTTAAATCGTACACCGTGGCAACCAGTATTATGCTGATTATCCGATCGTTTCAGATCAAGTGGTTACAAATAGATAGATCATTTTTCTTACGCTCAGTGAGACCACTCGTAAAGTTACTTCATCGAAAGTCGCTCGCTCTCTCTTTTTCTCTCTCTCTCTCTCTCTCTCTCTCTCTCTCTCTCTCTCTCTCTCTCTCTCTCTCCCTCCTTCCCTCTCTCTCTTTCTCGATCATGATCGACACGGCTTTTTTACCAGTGTAACTAATTATTAAGTAGTAAACAGGCACCAGAAATAACGCGGAAACAACTTTAAACGGAAATTCTGCAAATATAGTCTGCGATTATATTCAATATCGATTTTTTCTATTACACGTAAGATAAACAAATTGCTAGAAGAAAAAAAAACTGTTAATTTCGTATATTGAACGAATGGTGTTGAACTGTATTACCTTAATCAATTTTGAAGTATTTATATACTTATAAGAAAGAAATAGATATAAATAAATTATATAAAATATATATAATGCATGTGTAATATATATTTAACATACAAATTATATATAAAGATATAATACACTTATTAGAGAATGTTTATTATAATAATATAATAAATGTAATATATTAATATTATATGATATATCACCAATTTATAACGATGATTTAAATTAAATTAAAACATATATATATATATATATATATATATATATATATATATATATAAAAGTACACTATACACAAACACACTCACACATAGAAGACGTTAAAAAAAAGAGCCCTAGAAAAGGAGAGAGTATCTCAAAAGAATCCAATCTAAGATTACATCCATCTAAAGGTCTAGAAAAAATTTCGTAATTCGAAATCTTTTATTTTTTTTTTTTTTTTTTTTTTTTTACTCAAAGATACATGTATTGAGAACCTTAAATAAAAACCCATCAAAAAATATCGAAAAATCAAAATAATATGGCCGCCATCAGTTAATGAATATTTTTTGAGACGTTCGACGGTGGACACTCTTCAACCGAAACGGTCCATCTAAAATCAAAAAACCAAATGATCTATTCAAGTTAATAACAAATTCGAGTTATACATACGAAAAAGTTGTCATTTTTATATAATTATTAAAAAACAAAGATCAATTTAAAAAAATATAAGATCCTGAACGATCTTCAAATGTCTCTCAGTATATTTTGTGTAAATTTAAAAACAATGTATTGAAAGTTGACAATAAATACTTCATAAGATCTCCATCTTAAAAGACAGTGTTTTGAAAAAAAAACACGTTTAAAGTTTCAAGTACGGTTCTATTATTATTAAATGAAGAATTTTTAACTTTACTTGTAGTCGTCAATTCCAGGAACATATATGGAGCACCCATCCTTAGTGATCGATCAATTAGTCCTCTCTACTTCTTTTCAATTATTCGCGTCCATCATCTTTTTTTTTAATACTTCGAAATAATAATATTGTGCAAAAGACATTCGAAACACTTACCTATTGAGTTATTCACGATAAGATCATATGTGATCTAAATTCTATAACTTCGTTTTAAAGATATTTTTACAGATATTTTTAGAGATGTTGATCTGAAATTTTCAAAATATATTCTTAAGATTTGAAACTATTGAAAAATGCGGAAAAAAAATTTCTAAATGGATATGATCCCTTAAAAGTATTGAACAGGTTATGTTAATGCTAGAAAAAAATGTTTCAGTAATTAAATTTAGGAAAAATGTTCGAAGAATTATTTTCTACTTCAGAAAAATACTTACAGCATTAATAAATCATTATCAGCTATTGTGGTCATGATGGTATTATATTCTACAAAGTAAGTTATATAAAGTCTTCTTGGAATTTCTTTTAAAATATCAATTAAAGAGTGAGTATACGAGTGTATAGAATTATATCTAAATTTGTAATATCAATTCAATCACTCATGTTCCAATTACTGAAATTGTTAGATAGAGCGGTGGTTCTTATCTTCGATATATTTATAATGACCTCCTTTATCATAGCACGACGTCTGAATGCGCCAGTATTTTTAAACCCTGCATATAGGATGTTCATAAAACATTTGGTTAAATTTTGGAAGTCTATTTTACTATATAACTCCAAGGAAGAAATAATATTCTATAAAACCAGAACGATCCGAAAATGCTTGAACATTAAACCAGATACAAAAATGCTTCATAACTGTATTACAATCCTTCACTCATCATATTTGTTGACCACAGCAAATGTTGGAAATGGCCTTCAGCATCATTATATTGTATCATGTTCTGCCGAACAAAAATCTCAACAGTATTCCAAATGCGATGACATCCATACAGAATACAATCACGTAGAACGTCTACGTTACGGACCAGTGTGGCATAAATAAGTTGTTTGAGGTATACCCAAAGAAAAAAAGAATGTAGGGGATTGATGTTCGGAAAGCGTGTAGGCCAAGCAATGGTCCTCTTCTACCAATCCAACGACCAAAGTACCGTTGATCAAGATAATCCATGGCAGTATGACTAAAATGAGCGGAAGGCCCATTATGCACGAACCACATTTGACGACGCGTCTATAATGGAATATTGTCTAGTAACGTAAGTTACGTGTTTTCTAGAAATTGTCTATAATTGGCACAACTCAGCCTACGCGGCAGAAACCACGGTCCAATTAGATACTCGGCAATGATGCCAACCCAGACGTTCCACGAAAACTACGACCGATGCCGTGACTGTGAGGCAGCATTGCGGATTTGCATCTCCCCATTTATGAATATTATGTATGTTGATAGTTCACAACGGCAACGCGCATGAACTTTCTCTAATCTCTGTGAAAAGCACATAGAAATACTGAAAATGAGGTCTATAATGCATTATTGTAAATATCGGCCACAAAACATGGCTTGTCGAGGGTATGCAGTCAGCTGGCGAAAATGCCTGCACCCGTTGCACATGATATGGATAGAGAGAAGCTATTCCCATGGAACTCTTCACACACTCTTATGTGAAGCAGCAATATCACCGATTATCTGTCGTATAAACCTTCCCACTTCTTCTAAGATCCTGCCAAGCACCTGCTCTTCAACCTGGGGTGTTCGAATATACCTTTCACGGCCCCTATCAGTGATGCGAAGCTGAAAGCATCCTGTCTTTCAAAAGCGCTGATAAATAGCCACAAATGTATACTTTCTTGGACATCGTCGGTATGGATAAGATTCTCGATAAAGACACTGAGGTGCTGTTTCCATTTGCTCGTTCATGCATGAAATAGATGTCTCTCATCTTGCCGTTTGAATACAGAAGATACATGGTCTTTGTAATACTAAACTCTACGAACACACGAACTCTCTCATATACACTTCATTACGAACTACTCCAATGATCATAATGATTTATCAACACCAACTGACGTGCACTATAACTCGGATAAGATACGATTCCGGACCTATGTTCATATAAACTTATTTCTTTTTCAGAATTAATATAACACGCTCGTTAAGTATAAACAAGACATTTCAGAAATGATATATCAAGAGAAAATAATATATACATATAATATATAAATTATAACTTCCAATTAATGTATGAGAACAAATAGATAATAGCAAAATTTCGATATGACGCTTTCGATAAATATTAGGTCAGCTATTACGAATTCAAGGACCATCGGGGTTGGTCCCTTTCCCTCTAGAACAAATAGAAACGAAATTAGAGAGATAGAAACAACAGTAATAATAGCACGTGACCGTCTTAACGTAACGTGCCTTCAGGGGCCTTTAACATTCCACTATCACATTGACACGCCCCTGTATAGGCGAGAATTTAAAGGGCAACCGAAAGGACCAGTGTGTATGTGCGCACGTGCGTTTTTTTTTTTTCTTTTTTTTTTTTCTTTACTCGACATTCCTAATACTCCTACTCCTCGTGCTTTGACCGATCGAAAGCGGGAATGACACGTACTCATTTAGTTAATTATCCAATGGATATATCTATCCTTCTATTTTAAAGTAGCAACGAATCATACACTTTCTACAAAATGTTCCAATCGTTTTCAGATTGCTGATATATTTGACAGAAGAAAAAATGTTAGAAAATTAATGAAAGAAAAGATCGATAACTCGATCCACTTTATCATTTTTCGTTAATTCTTTTTTAACCTCTGTATAATGCAATCTAGCTTCGAAATTGAACGTTCATATATACGTCTTATTTTATTTTCTTTCTTTTTTCTTTTCTTTTTTTTTTTCTCTTTTTTCGGCCACAAACTTAATCGTCATTACTATATTAAAAACTATTATACTTGATATAACTTTTATGTTACGTAATTAATATACATAATTTTCGTTTGGATGTGAAAGAAAATTAAATTACGGAGGATCGATATTTCTTTTTTTTTCTTTTTTACTTTTTGTTATTACTTCTTATAAAATATCTACTGTTTGTAGAGGTAACATTGATCGATTCACGAGAGAGGGAATTTAGAGGTATACGCAAGAGTGACATTGTCTTATTCAATAAAGAAAGAAAGAAAGAAAAAAGAAGCTAACAAGTATGCTTGTATATGTTATGTACAATTATTTACATTTTATATACAATTTACAACTTTCTACGTTAGAGATCGTAGTACAGAACACGTTTCATGAGTAAGTATACGGAACGCTTCGCAAGAGAACATTAATGTTCGTGAATTTTCATAATCAAATATTTTCTCTTCATGCGCGTCATTGTGCCAAGGTCGCAGAAGAAGAATATTTTGTCGATCGGGAAATTTTAGTTTCTTTTTTTCTTGCTCAAAAAAAAAAAAGAAAAAAAAGAAAAAAGGAAAAAGAAAAGAAAAACAAACCAAACGCAAGAAAATTATAAATACTACGTATGTGCGAAAATATAAAAACGAATGAATCACCCAGCTCTTACAAAGTTTAATAAAGTTAACCTCTTATAATTCAATCGTTCTTTTTTTTTTTTTGTCAAAGAAAAAATGTTCTAACGTGAAAAACTTTAAGTATAACTTATATTGGTATAACTATCCTATATTTTAATAATACCCTACTATATTAAGTAATTGATGCAAATATTGGAATAATAATTATTAGATCATTTTTTATCGATAGTAATATACAAATTTTTTAACCGATAAGCTACCTGTTAAAATACATTTCCACGCCCAAAAGATATCGAATACGGTTTCAACATGATGGATGTCCGGCTCACGCAATGCATCAGATGCCAATCTTTCGTGAATTTTTTTTCTATTCGAGGTCACGTGAAAGTCATAGTATCATAGATCATTAGATTTGTCTTGACGTTTACGTCACATTATAAGGAACAGATGTTAATATGAAAAAAAAAAAAGAAAAGAAAATGACGATGACCTTGATATGGCATTCAAAATGATCTTCGAGGGATATTTTTTTATCATCGCCAGATGCACGCCCTGAAACCATATAACCTCCTTTTAGTCATTTTTCTTTCTTTTATAAGCGGTGGAAATAATTTAGATGTACAACTTAATTGAGACATTCTATATACTTATATATGAGTACTTTAATATAAATTATATATATGTATATATATATATATATGTGTGTGTGTGTGTACTTATTAAACATTAATTTTCGATATATGAACGAACCGTAATGTTTTTGTAACGCAATAATAAAATAAAAAGAAAAAAAAAAAAAAAAAAAAATATAATACAAATATATGAATGCGTGACTTCGAAGTTATATGACGCTATAGAAGTTTAATGTAAAAATAAAATCGAGAAGCTATTTTTACTTGTTTGCTGTAGAAAAAAAAAAGAAAAAGAAAAAGAAAAAGAAAAGACAAAAAGAAGAAACAGGAAGTATTAAAATTTATTCGATCAAATTATCTCTCCTTTTTCTTTTCACCCGATCGCAGCTATAAAATTAAGTTAAATTTATTCGCTTATCGTAAAAAAAAAAAAAAAAGAAAGAAAAGAAAAAAAAAAGAGAAAAGAAAAAAAAAGAAAAAGGAAAAGAAAAAAAAAGGAAAAGAAAAAAAAACTATTTGATCGTCGTGGGTGTTCGTCTCGACCTACTACATGAAAGTAAAAAAATGTTGGAGTTTATTGGATCGTTATCCACCCAGCAGCCTTCTCTTCGATTTTCTGGTTTTTTTTCTTTTTTCTTTTTTTTTTTCTTTTGTGCTATTACTATCTATCGCGTCATGTATGTTGAATATCTATTAAAGATCGAGTATCTAATCGTGACGCTCCATTTTCCACGAGGAGAGGCGATGTAAAAGAGATCCTTACTGGTTAATATTATTATAACCGCCAGCAATTACCCGTTTCTATCGGTACCAGCTAGAAAACGAGATACCACTATGCGAACTACGACGTTTGCCCGTTCCACAAATTGTTAACTAATTGTTATCTTTTCATGCTCCCTTACGCGAACACCGCTAAACTCTCGCGGCGCGTATTTAATAGAAGGTTTCGCGCAAACGTTCACTTTCTCATGTCTATTTCTCTCTCTCTCTCTCTCTCTCTCTCTCTCTCTCTCTCTCTCTCTCTCTCTCTTCTCAAGTCTATTTCTCTCTCTGTCTTTCTCATGTCTATTTCTCTCTCTCTCTCTCTCTCTCTCTTCCTCTCTCTCTGTCTCTCTTTCTATTTTTCTCATTCTCTCTCGATCTTGATTTGCCCCATTCGATCTCTATGTAATTTTCACTAAGTTGTAAAAATTTCACGATAAATATAACAGATGAAATCAATAATATACCGAGTATATCATAATTAATATCACGAACACTTATTTCATATTATCTAACAATTTCTTAATCATAATCTCATAGATTCGTTAAAAAAGAATATACTGTGTATTATATCGTCCTTTACAAAAATTCGAATCTTAAAATTATTAAGAAAAGAAGAGGAAGTGTTGGAAAAAAAAAAAAAAAAAAAAGAAAAAAATTGGTTAAAATAGGAAATTTATATCGTAGATAATGAAAAGATCGACGAATTAAAATTATGAAAGAACGAATCTGTTGTGAAAATAGTATCATGACGCGTACGATCTTCTAAGAAACTTCAGCGCGACATTAAAATTCTACGCGTTGAATATTCCATGCGTACTACTACTACGCACGACCGTTTATAGCAGCCTGTTTGCTAGAATCGGATAAAATATTATTTCCCGAGTTCTTTCGAAGAGAAAAGATTCCGTTCAAACTGGGAAAAAAAAAAAAGAACTATTCTTTCGCAATATTCATCTCTAGCTGACGTCTAAATATTATCAGTTTTTCCACGTCGAATTCCTATCCTTTTTATCGCGAGAAATTAATTTACAAGTTATCTCAATGTATGTTTTTCTTTTTCTTTTTCTTCTTTTTTTTTTCCTTTAAAGAACATAATTCAATTTATCGTCGCTCGCAAAATCATGTTTTGCCAGTCTGAGCATCCCCATGAGAGATTCTTGTCAGGGGCGTTTGCTATCTTGCAAGAAAAGTGTCCACCTTAGTAATAAAGATGAAAAAAAAAAGGGAAGACAAAAATTAAATGAGAAAAAAGTATAGACGAATTCCAGGAAGCATTCTAATGTGAATTTTACTAAACAAAAAATTATATAGACTGTCTGATATTTATATTATTAACAATAACAGATGATTTCAATTTTTTTTTAAATATAAAATGGTTTTTTCACGATTATGATTCAACCATAATATAAATAATATATAAAATGTTTATATTTTACATAGGAATATCATATGTTGTTAGAAACAAAAAAAAACAAATTTCAAAACAATTCATTTGATAAAATCATAATCATGAGAAGATCATTCTATGCTAAAAAATTATTAACAGTATTTGTTATATGAGCCGTTCACTTATCAAATCGATTAACTCGATAAAACAAGAAGCGGAGGAATGTGATGAAATAATATAAATTGCTTTTTAAAAATGTCTTTAAAATATGAATTCAAATAAACATTGTAGAATGTATAAAGGCCTTGGTGCTACGCTTGAATTGCATTATTGCAACGATTTACATTAGAGTACGGAATCAATTAGATTGACCTCTGAAACAAATTATTTTTTATTCGATGGCCAAACAAATTTTGTCATTTAATGGTATTAAATAATGAAAATTAGAGAAATTTATTATGAATATAAAAAGTGAGGAATCTATCAAGTGTTTTGACAGATACATTTTTAAAAATTCAAAAAGTAGAGTTAATCAATTTTGCTTTTGAAATCTCATATATATATATATGTTATGTTATATTATATACAGGAAAGAGAGAGAGAGAAGAGAGATTTATAAGTATTTCAAAGTATATAATGAATAATATAAAACGAAATTCTATATTTTTTCATTATTATAATAAATATATATCATATAATCATATATGATAATAGTGATACAAAATGATGATAATGAAAAAATATAAAATTTCATAAATCGTTGATAACAATTAGTCAAAAGTTAAATTTTGTCCTGCCACCCTAACCGGGTGGTAAAAAATTTTTCGCGTGGGAGAAAAAATTAAAAGAAGAAATAGAAGGCAACATTTTCGGGCGTGGCGTTTTGCCCGCGCGAAAATTTGCAGAGATATCTTTTTTCGGCGTGCGTGTGGGTAGACGAAAAGAGTACACGTGGCCTCCTCCTCCTCCTCCTCCTCCTCCTCCTTCTTTCTTTATACTTATGTACACACGTACGATCAGAAGAAGAGCGATCGCATGGTCATGCCTAAGAGAAACGACTTCTACACGAAGATTCTGCTCTGATTTCGAAAGAACACGTGATTTATGCACGCGAATAAACTCGTGCTTTACGTGCGCCTGCTATCAGACGAGCTACCGCAACATCATCATTAGAAAAATAATCTTGTCAAAAGTTAAACGTTTAAAAAAATATATTTGAAAAATGATATTTAAAAAAATATATATACATATTTTTTTTTTTTTTAAATATCAACTCAAAATATGTATCTCTGAAAGATGATTCAAAAAAGTAGTAAAGTAAATTTTTTTTTAATGACTTTCTCTAATTACAAATTTGATATATTACAATTCACACGCGCACGCACGTACGCACACACGCACACATATATATATATATATATATATATATATATATATATTTGATATAATTTATATTACATCAATATCGAAAAGTTAATCGAATTTTTCAATCGTTCTTAATTAAATGATTTTTTATAATCGTCTGTGCTGTTGTATTTCGACAAAAGAGAAAAAAGAAAAATTAACAAAATCAATCAAATTTTCATGACTTTCTATCTACGATAGACGAACGAACTTTGATTATCTAAATTATACGTATAATGTATCTCCCAAGTTTACCCAGTTGATTAAGTGCGAATTTGATTTTGATAACGCACGTATAAATTTCTAAATACGTTACCAACTTTACCAAATCATTCATTACGATAGTTTCCCAATAACGTCTATCTTACATGTCCCTCGTGTTATATATCGACAGTTCGATAAACGACAAGTTGAAGGAAAATAAAAGAACTCGAGGACAATGTGGTGGAGAGGAGCTAGAAGCCTTTCAAATGTCTCCAGTGAAAGTGATACCGTGCGTGGAAAAATTAAAGTATTATATTGCACAAATACCCAACGATCGAGAAAAATTTATACACTATCGATGTGTGAGAATTTCATCCGTAATCTTTTTCGTCGTTTTGAAAGTGAACCAAATCCGATACGAGATACTCGTAGTATCATGTGAACGAAAAAAAAAAAGAAATAAAAAAAAAGAAAAAAGAAAAGAAAAGGAATTAACCTCTTCAAGAACACAGCCACGTACTATATTTATACGTTTAGTCTTTTTTTTTTTTCTTTCTTTCTAAATGTGTCAACGCATTTTGTTCGTATGTGTCTGTGTGTATATATATATATATATATATATATCTCAAACTTTACAAATACTATTTCTTTCTTTTTTTATTTAGAATGAAGCAATATATATATATATATATATATATATATATATATATATATATATAATTATAAACATTAAATTAGATCCGTTTTTTCAACTACAAAAAAAAAAAGAAAGAAAGAAAAAGAAAGAAGAAATATCGTTCCAGAAAAAATTAATAAATGTTTTCTAGAATTTGTAATAGATATATACTTGAAGATATTCTAAAAAATATTATTTGTTATCCAGAATTAATGTAAATAATACAGATGAAATCACACGCAAGGAAATATCTGAAGATATCGAAGAAAGAAAAAAAAAAAGAAGAGAAAAAAATTGAAGATCATCAGGCACTCCCACGCGTGGCCTTGGTCTCTCTCTCTCTCTCTCTCTCTCTCTCTCTCTCTCTATCTATCTATCTTTCTCGACGTTTTCGTCTCGATCGAAATACAAACGATTTGGACGTTTTAGCGAAGGCGAATGCTGACAAAGGCGAGTCAAAAGAGAAGGGAAAATGAGAGACGAACGACCGGCCAAGTTCACGGCTAAATTCCACTCTGTTTTCAACTTATTCGCGTCCTTTCATGTCAGAATTTTCAAAGACGGCTTAAACGGCATTAAACATTCTCTGCGCGTATGAGGTCTCGTGACGTTACGAAAACCGAGAAGCAACTACTTGCTCGAAATTCTTCACTGTTAGTGTACGTGTACCATGAGAAATATCTTTGTTCGACTAGAATTGACAGAAAAAAAAATATCATTTTAATTCTTAAATGTCGTTAACTTTAATACAATTTTAATCCTTATTTTATAATGACAACATATTACGGTTTAATGTAATTTAATGTAACAATGTAATATTTTATTAAATTTCTTTGAAAAATTTTTTATCAAATTTCTAAAAACAATAATCAAATTTTTATTATTATTTCTATTTGATTATTTACTAAATAGTTAATATTTATAATATATTTTTCTTCAAAATTCATTTAATAATAAAAGAAAATGCATGATATATTAAAAAAGATTAGAAAATTGAATTAGCTTCTTATCAAAAAAATATTATAAAACGTTTGCCAATCAATTCCGAACAATTTTTTGTGAATGTTAAGTAAGAAATGTTTCTAAAGGAAAATAAATAAAAAAAGATGCAATTGGCAGGACTATTGCCAATTGGAATAAGAGCGAATAATAAATTAATTCAAACTCTTTAAAACGAAATGGTAAGAAAAATTCAAAAATTAATCACGTTAATTATATAATTATTAATCTTTTTCTTTTACAATATTTCATTCGAATGAGATATTTTCGTTCATTCGATATTTAAATCATCTCTTCTAATTCGATCGATGTATAATAATATATATTTATTATGATAAATTAATTATTGATCTAAGTATGTCGATCTATTATCGAGATGAGAAAAATACTAGATAATATATATATATATATATATAGATATTTATAAATATTATATTTAAATTAACTTTACGCCATCATAGAAACGTTAATATAACTATAGAAATAATTTTTACGAGGATTTTTAATAAACTTTGCATTAAAAGACGTTTAAGGAAGTAAAAAATCAATTGTACGTTTAATCCAAGTAATCATTTATTCCACGAGAAGCATCTTTTGACCGAACTTCTAATTACGAACGAGCCATTTCCGCATGGCTGTGCCTAAACACACAAGCAAATAAAGGAAAGCGGTACGCTTGAATATCCTCAAAAGATGGGTACAAAAGAAAAGGAAAGGAAAGGAAAGGAAAGGAATCTCTAATATTGTATTAGTTCAAGATTAGAAAGTAACGTTTCGAAGAATTTAAAACAAAAAAAAAATAATGAATTTTGTTAAAAACAAGCTCGAACAAAAACGATTTAAATATATGCAAATGAAAAAAAAAAATTGTTAATTTGTTGGTTGATGAGCCTAGCAACGATCAAAAATATTATATTGGTTGTCTTGACAACGTTACAGAATTAAGATTTATGCGCAATCTCATGAAAAAAGCTATAATTATTTGGTAAAATCTCGATAAATTAAAATGTGACCTGAATGTTACACGAGCCCATAGAGGATTAAAACAAAAATCAACATTATGATTAATTAACTACAGACTACCTAAAAAATAATAATTAATAAAAAGAAATAAAAATGAATATTCGTACCAATGTATTTCAAATGTATAGTTTCACGGTAAAAATTCTATGACTAATTTCATAGTAAAATTTCAGATCTCGTCAGCAATATTGTCGCCTGACGATAACAAAAATAAAACAAAAAAGAAGGGGAAAAAAAAAGAAAAATACAAAAATAAAAGGAACGGTAAACGAAGAAAAAACACAAGGGTATCGTATATTGTATCTCACAAAACGTGGACGTCATACACAATAAGAAAAAAAATCAACGCGTGTATATAAACACACAAGCCAAGCTCTTATTACATTATATGCACATGTACGCGAGCACGCACGTATACACGTGTATTTTGGTCATTGATTATTCCTTACTTCACGAGGAGAATATTGTCCTTGCTAATCGAAGTTACACAGTAACTGTTTCGTCGTAACGTAAAACTGCGTTGAAAGAGTATAACGAAAGAAAACAAAAAGAAATGAGAAGAAAGGGACAATATCTAAGATACGAAGCACGTAAAATTAAAGAACAAGAACGACATAACCTTTTCACGTTGTTCATTTACTTACATTGTCGAAAAACAAAATGTCCGATCACTCACCTGCATACTATCCGCCGATATTATTTCCCCGCAGAATCTTCGTGCCAATTCAATCCCAAGTCTTGATTTTCCTGAACCAGTTGAACCCAAAATCACTAATATCGGAATTCGCGACATTTTCATTTCACTGTTCTCGTATATCTTTCTATTTCGTTTACTGCGCATGCGCTTTCTCGATCTGAGCATTCCACACAGTTCCACTCGTTCCGTTTATTCGAGACACGATGGTACACGATCCGAGCGCGCTTCTTTTCAAATTCATTTCTAGCGTATACATGCTTCCTTTTTAATTCAACGATCGTTAAAAGTCTTATAATAGATCAATCTGACAGCTTTTATTCATCTTTCAATTAAATAAATGTAAAATTGATAAAAGAAAATTTTTTAATAATAAAACTTGAAATGTAATTTATTTTTAATTAACAAACCATTATACGAACCTTTTAATCTATATATGTATGTGTAATTTATAAATTATAATAAAACCATTAAAAAGAATTCTCTTTTAGTTTTTTTTGTCGTTTTATCGGCTGTCTTAATTTTTCTTCTCAAAAATATTTTTTATCGAACTAAACAAAATACAAGATGGGCTATAAGTCAGTTGACAAAAATTTTTTTTTTCATATTATATACAAAGGTCACTTCCTCGAATCTGAATTCGTTCTTATGAAACTCGTCTTTTCGTTATCGTAAAAATCGTTGTAAACGTCTGTCAGATCTTGCGATTTTATCAATAATGATCGATGAAGATCTAGACTCGTTCTAATATGACACTTTAAATAAACGTATATCGCGAGGTAGATGATTCGTTACAAAAATAAACCAGACTCGACGCATCCTCGTACCACGTCATCGATGATACTGCTTGCAACCTATCTTTCTATGTATATGTCTATGCTTCTATCTATCTCTGTCTCTATCTTTATCTCGTATTACTTGAATTCGTTCGAAACGATTGCACCATCGACGACATAAGTTTCGTCTGATTCACGAAAATGACGACTAATGATATTCATTTTCTCGTATATGTAACGTCTTTATTTCTAGTACATGCGGATAATTGACCTTAAAGATCAGTTGCACGCATTTACTTAAAATGTCATCGAGAGTTCATTTATTATCGATACTTTATTGTATATATGCCACTTATATAGCTACTTACACATGCGTATTCATGATATCTATATAAAAAATAAAATGAACACGCATTTACGACTTTATCTTTATTTAGTTATTACAAAATATTACTCAACATAATCTCGTTAATAAAAATGTACAAATCGCAGTCTGAAATATTTAATATTTCAATGATATTTTATTTATTTTTTCTACTTCGATGATAAATACCAGCAAATGAATTATACGAATTTGAATTACAACTTACGATTATCATCGAATTGTGCTCATCATTAATGTGATTAATGTGATGAACGTTAACGACTTTATCAGTCTGAAAAAGCTTTAGACATAAAGTCAAATGAATTTTTATGGGTTTGTTAACGAATACAACAAATTAAACTAGACTTTTTGGCAAGGCATCAAAACGTTTGCAACGTATTTATAAATCGATTTACGTTCGTTCGAGAGATAAATGATCGATTTCCAATTTTACCAATTTCTCTCGCGAACGATATGTCGTAATTTAATTATAGGGTGCCCTGAATGAATCGGTCACTGTCGCGCGTACAAAAATACGTTTATAGGATATATATATATATATATATATATATATATATATATATGTATCTCGAAAGGGAGGGTACGTGATCGAAATAATTGTGAATTCGTTCCGCCATAAACGGAATCGTCGGTCAAATGCTTTATGCAAGACATTTTAATTATCATCGCACTTTTAGTCACGCGAACCAAATATCAATTATCCTCCTACTAACAAAGTATTCGCCATTTAATATTTTACCAATCGAAACGTCGTCGTATACAATAGTTCGTTCGGTTGAAATAACTTTCAGAAAAGTTCTTTCTGTAGAAGTCATACTTTTTGAAAAGTTTTGACGCGAACGAAGACAAACTCGGCATATTTCCGATGTATAAAACAATAACGGAATGATAACGAACTCGTTATGTTAGCAAAAATTTCTTTCACGTTTCTCTCATTTTTTTCCTCAAACGATCAATCGTGACTCTAATGAGTTTTCTACAATGTGAACGGAGAAGTTACAACGGTGAAGTAATAATTGGTCGAATTTTTCGAATTGACTTGAATTAATTACGCTATTAAAAGAATGATCCAGGTAAGATTGAGAATAATACAATAAAGTTATGTAATATAAAAATGCACGACATATATATATATATATATATATATATATATATATATATAGGGTGTTTAAAAAAGCATTCAATATTTCTATAGTACAAAGAACACATTATATTGAGTAAAAAAGTCTTAATAAACATAAGATGAAAAGTCAATCATTTCTGAAATATAAACATTTTTATATACTATTATTATGATTGACTTACTATTGACTTTTCGATTTACAGAAGGTGTTCTACATATCCTACTTCTACATTTCCATTCACACTTGGCCTCTTTTTCTGACACAGTTGCAATATCTTTTCAAAAATTCCACATTTTTGTCGGATGATTTCAAAAGTATTGCATAATTCTTTTAAATTATTTATCAGCGAAGAATACACTTTGCTTTTCAAATACTCTCATAGAAAGGAATCCAAAGGATTGAAATCAGGAGATTAAGGGGGCCATGTAACTGGTCCACCACCTTTCCAATTCACCTTTGACTGAAATGAATCTGATTCGCAAAGACGTTGGTGAAACAGTGCATGAGAGGGAATTCTTTGATATAAATCACGAAATATTATTATATAGGAAACTTTTCCATATAAACTACGTTTTCTAAAAAAAAACTGCGTTGCAATTAAAAACAGTTGCTGATGACTAATTGCTGATGTAATTTTGAATATTGAATGAGGACATTCGTGTTTATATCTTAGAAACGATTGACCTTTCGATCTATCTTTACTAAGACTTTTTTTACTCAGTATAGTGTAATCTATGTACCGTATAAATATTTAATGTTTTTTTTTGAACACCTTGTATATATATTAATTATAATATAAAAATAATATATAAGTGATATAAAGTCTTACAATGTCATGTGATATGGTATGTCATTAAAAGTCAGGGTTAAAGAAATCCGTGAATGGCACAAGTTTTTACCGCCAAAAACATTTTGATTAGTGAACGATGAGATAAGAAGAACCGACGCAACCGCAACTGCCACGTAACGGACTGATTATTCTATCAGTCAATGCCCTCGTACTTTCGAAATCTCATTGGCGTATCTCCGATCTATCGAATTATCTCTTACCGGAGTCGATGAAGGCTATCTATTCAGCATCTTTCACAACTTTTCTTAGATAAGATAGATCCTTTCCTTTATCGTTATTCAGGTCAGTAATCGAAGCGTGAAACGATTTTGCTATTCGTTTCTATCCTTCTATCCTTTGACTTTCTAATGATGATAAAAAAGTTTCTTCATAATAATGTTAAAATTTATTCTTAATAACAATAATAATAATAATAGTAATAGTAATACTATTAATAATAATAATAATAATAATAATAATAATAATAATAATAATAATAATAATAATAATAATATTAATAATAAGATGACATGAGAAAACTTTAACAACAATTAACATGGTTATTCATGAATATAAACGCTAATATACGTTCTACGAAAATTATTTCGTAGAACGCATAAAATAATTTGGCAGACATACACAAGATGCAAATTAGAAAACGTTTGTAATAGATCGTAAGACGATGAACGATCAAGACAGACGTCGTACGCTAAATTTACGCGTAACAAAGGTTGCGTCGTTGGTCGATCCCATCGAAGAGATGTACGTAAGTACTCGCGGGATGTGTGATACCCGTTAATTTTATTAGCAATGACGAAACAACAACGACGGCCTAGCCCTCTGCTTTCCATAATTCTCACATTTAATCGCCTAATCGCGGCACGGAGCTGGACGAAGCAACGCCGAGAAATTTCTACGAGGACACGTGAAGTAGTTAAATAAAAAATTAAGATAAAATAAAATAAAATAAAATAAAAAAGAGAAAAAAGAAAGAATTATAAAAATTCATCAAACATTCAAGGGTAATAAACTTTGTCGTTCAATCATTTAATACCCGTCCCCCTTTTAATTATTTTATCTTCCTTCTTTTTTTTTTTTCTTTTTTGATACGCCATCCTACTCATTGTACAAACTGCCATTAAATTTCCCTCGTTGGTCAGAGACACTTCAATACTACGCTCGTTGCATCCACAGCACAGAGTTATATCCGTCTTTACGACGTGAAATTAATTCAACCGCCGAAATAAAGACTGGTTGGGTCGTTGATCTTACTGTAAAACGTCATAACTAAATATCTCTATAAATGAGTACTTACCTACGCTCATATACTCCTACGTATATGCTTTATACTTATTACGAAGCAAGAACAAGGGTGAATTATAGTAGAACTCGATCGATTTCAATGAATGAAATTAAATGACAAATAAATGAAGGTTATTATTGATCGAAGATTTATATATAGAAATGTATTGTTTAACTTCTGCATGATAATGATGAATTCGGTGGAATCAAAATAATGATTAAGTAGGATCAATATAGAGGGTGGTTTTAATGACGATAAGACAAATAATCATGAAATAACACAAGTGAAATGATATAGTACTTTATTCATATAAGATAATTTGAAATATAAACATTAAGGAACTGTCTGGCTCTCTTTCCTGAAAAAAAGTAACATCGAGGATTCTGCTTTCTCTCTTTCTCTCTCTCTTTCTCTCTCTCTCCCTCTTTTCTCTCTCTTTCTTTCTCTCTCTCTCTCTCTCTCTCTCTCTCTCTCTCTCTCTTTCTCTCTCTCTCAACTCTCAAACTCTCTTCTCAGTCCTTACGCTTTCTGATTTCTAAACAAAATCTATAATAATGATTATAATAATTATAATAATTAAACATCCTTTTTAACGATCTCATTCCTCAAAAAAGATCGCTTTGCAAGATCGTTAGAAAGATCGCCGAACGTGTACAATTCCTTCGGTTCCGATCTAAGTATAAAATTTGATCTTGCATAAACAAAAAACGATATACATACATTTTATTACTTATGTGTTCATTTTTTTTTTTATTTTTGGTTTATCCTCGATTTTCCTGTAAAACGAATTTTGAGGTTTGACGCATCATCGCACGCAATCATAACGAGGAACGTCAATACAATAACGAAAAAATTTTTAACTCTTTTTTTTTTTTTTGTTTACTTTTAAGTACAACAGAATTGTCATATGTCTTTCATTCGGTTTTCCAGTTATAGAACCTACATGATACA